CAGCGACAGCGACAGCGACAGCGCGCGCCCGAGTATGTGCTGTGGGCGTCAATTGCACTTGTCGTCCGCTCCCCTCTCGCTCCGCGCTGCCCCAGCGCCCATCCCTCGCACCACCACAGCGCCGCGGCCAGCAGCGCAGGCGAATTGCGCATTTCCACGAGCGCAGGCGCGCGCACACGCCCTCCGCCGTCGAGAGTCGGTGAGGCATGCGCGTGGTGACTGGCGCCGAGGGCCCTGTCGTCGTGAGTAGTTGTTTACCAGCCCCCGATTTTCCGCGCCTTCACCAGCCTTCTCCCAACCCCCCAGCGCTCCCCCTCGTGCGCACCGCCCAGAGTAACAATGGCTCTGTTCCCCTGCCATCCTCCCTCTCTAACAGCATCCTCGCCAGGCATTCCCACATTGCACCTTCCTCGCGCCCGCCCGCTAGCCTCAGTGCCGCCTGCCCTCCCTCCCGCGCAGCCTGCTCTCCCCACAACACCACCGCCCGCGCCCGCGCCCTCGCTCGCAGGCGTCGTCGCCCACGTCCGCCGCGTCCAATTGCCTCGCCGTAGCAGACTGGGCCCGACGCCGAGGTCACGTTGACGTCCTCGGGCCCGCCAGAGCTCACCACCCTGCTGCCCCCGGAGCCCCTTCTTGACGAGACCCACGACCGACACGTACACGCCTACACGACCTCTTTGCAGCAACGCCAGCAGCAGGCTGCCGATTTCTACAGAGCACAGCACAGCCATTCGCGAGCTTCGAGTTCGTCCGGCAGCGCGCCCTACAGCTTACGGCGCACGCCCAATTTCGAGGATCCACGTCCCCGGCTCGCGTCCCCGGCCGACGACTCGGTGCAACAACAACCACCTCAACGCCTCGTACGCTTCGCCGACCCCCCCCAATCCGGCCGCCCCTCGCATCGACGCCCCCGTGCCGGCTCTCAATCGCAAGCCCCCGACCTCTCCACGCCCCATCCCGCCCTCCGCATCTCGCGCCGGACCGCGTCCGCCATCCACTTTGTCCTCGAGGAAGCCATTCGCACGCCGCACGCCTTCACGCCCGACCTGGTCGAGGAGCGCGCGTCCATGTCCGATCTGACCGCAGGCGGGAACGGCCGCGCTGCCAATGGCGGTGCGCGCACTGGGGCCGGGCCCGTACCTGTCACGCATTCGGATCGCTCCAACATACGAACGCCGCAGATGATCATGAATCAACGGCGTGAGCGCGAGGCGGCTCGCCGACAGCAGAGCGAGGAAGAGACGGCACGTGCTGCCGACGAGCAACAGCGGAAGGCCGAAGAGGAGCGAAGGAGAAGCGCGGAACGAAGAGCTCAAGCTGTTGCCCCTGCTGCTGGCGTTGCTGGTACAACCACGTCCATAGACCCGGGCGCCCAGAGGCAGCCCCAAACCGCTCCTCTGAGGCCGGGCGATGGCCAATATCCCCAATACACTACGGCAGGACAAGGGGTACCACGACAGCCAGAACGAGTTGTGCCGACATCAGGCGGCCCTGGAAACCCTTCCGTTCTTGGACATGCCCAGGATACTACATCAGGCGCACAATACGGAAGAACAAGGGGAAGCTCACAATCACAACCCCAGCCCCGAGCTGCTCCTCCCTACCAAGCGGCACCAACTACCGCGAGCGAGTCTCGACGGCCGCCGCCGACACAGCAAGCTAGACGCCCCTCGGCTACTGCTCCACCCCCCTCACAAGCTGGCCCTTCGACAGCTGCTCCGCCACCCCAATCGTCAACAGCCGGATTATCAGGCGCCCCGGCGCGCCAATCAACAACCTCGGCTTTTCCGCATGCTTTCGAGCGATGGGAGACACTTTCATCACATTGGGAGGGTCTCACCTCGTACTGGATCCGGCGATTAGAGCAAAATACTGACGAGGTTCGTCGGGAGCCTCTGGCTCAGCAAATGTCCAGGCAGATTACGGACCTCTCAGCAGCCGGCGCAAATCTATTTCACGCGGTCGTTGAATTGCAGCGACTGCGTGCATCTTCGGAACGCAAATTTCAAAGATGGTTCTACGAGCATCGTCAGGAACAGGAACGCGCACAAGAGCGCGAAGCACAGTTAGAACATACGTTGAGGGTAGAACGCGAAGCCCGCGCAGATACTGCCGGGAATATTGAGCGCATGGCCACAGAAAAGAAGAACGCCGAGCGCGCGGTTCAAGAAATGAAGCGGGAATTGCAGATTTCCAAAGAAGAGGCGCGTCGAGCCTGGGAAGAACTAGGGCGACGCGAGCAAGAAGAGCGCGACCGAACCTTTTCCTTACGCGAAGGTCAACCGACCGTGGTGGGAGGTGTTCAGGTGGTGCCTATGGCCCAGGGAATGGGCAGACATGGGAGCGTGTCACATCGCACGCATGCGGGTGAGGAAGCATATGGAGCAGGACCAAGCGGTACCCAGGGAATGGAGCAACACTACCCGTATGAAGAAGGCCAGTCGCCCACCGACACCGACCCTTTTACGGAGGCTGGCCGACATGCCGTACCTCTTCGACACGAGCCGGAAGTCCCGTACCTCGCCCAAGGAACCTACGTTCCATCTGGCGTTACAGCAGCCCTCTCGCCCTCTACTCGTACTACTGCCCCTCCCGAACCAGCCCTTCAATCTCCGATACCGGCTCCCTTGAATCCTCAGCGCTTCACGGACGCCCAGGAAACTGCTGGTCTACCAACCACGTCCAATCCCGAGGCTTTCTATCAACAACCGGATGCGTACTTGCATCGAGAAACCGCTACGAGCATTCCAGAGGACGAACGGTCATATGTGACTTCACATGGCGAGGAAACTTCCGAAGGCGACGAGGAGTATGCCATTGACGAATATGGCAACTTTATTCTGGATGACGCTGGCCACCGCGTCCCATATCGATCGCTGCGCCAGCAAGACTCGGACGAGTATGACGTGCATGACGATCGTCGCCGTGAGCTGGAACATCTGCAACGATACGGAACCGCTGCTCCCGGCCCAAGTAGCTATGCGACCACATCCAGCGCCGGTCCTGCCTATCAGCAGACTCAGCAGACTCGTCCGACCGCCAGCGCTCCAGACTATAGCGGCTCTGACTATGGTGGCGAATGGGCGGCCATGAGACATCATCATCCAACGAGACTGAGCGACGTATTGGAGGAAGACGAAAGAAGTCGGACTTCGCCCAGCAGGGCAAGCCAGGCTAGTCGTGGGAGGTATTGAAGGATGACTCTCAATTATCAGAACGGATGTTCGTACTAAAAGAAACGTTACAAGTGACTGCGTCGTCGAGGCGCCCAACGTCGTGGGCTCCGTCTTACAACTTTTAAATCGCAGAGGTTTATGGCACTGGGGTTAGATAGACTGACACTTTGTTCTTCAAGCATTACGGCGTTGGGACAAAAGATATGGCGCCAATTCCACCACAGCTTCCTCTGTCAAGCGCCCTTTCGATCCTCGTTGCCCTTCCCTCGACCGTGCGTTGTTAGATCGCCTACAATGCAGGCGCATGCACTAGTCACAATCGTCATTCCACGGCATCCGTACCTTTTCAAAGTTCTCCTACCGACCGTCCAATTCGCTGTAAAATATTTGCAATTCCCTAATAACCACATTCTGGAGCATATTGTAATGCATGCATATTGGGCCACTGCAGCAACGGCGGTCTAGTACACCTTTTTGGCAGCCTTTATACCCTTCTGAAGAGAATTTTTTGGTACTTAATTGCATCTGACACGAACCTTGTCCCTCTCACCCGAAATACGGACCGTCGATCTACCGGAACAATCTGGATGAAGGTCTGTCTCATCATGTCTCGTAATATTTGGATGGGATAGGGCTTTGCTTTTCTCCTCTTTTTCAATTTCCTTGTATTAGTAGCATTTAAACGGTAGCGAGGTGTTTATGGGCATTGGGATTCAGAACCGATCTACAGTGGGTGCAAGGGATGGGTAATTGGTGAAGGGGAGTGTTAAGTTATACGTAGGTAGAGCCAATGAAACTCTTTCTGGCTCCGATGTGTGTTTGGGCGTCGTGCTTGGAGTGATGCAGCGAAAGGACTTTGTGTTGGCGCACCAGCTTTTTTACAAGTCATCTTACCCGTTGGGGATCCCTACTTCGTTACTTGCGAGCTCCATCCTCGCTACACCCGTGAGTACCTACCTCATCGTACCGAATCCTCGGCAGTCGGCCGCCCTGTCCTCTATGAGCTGAAAATAGAAGGTCTGGCGTCTGGCGATCAACAACCCCCCTCTGTATCCAATCATCACCATTGACAGCGGACCTACATACTTTTCATTCGACGACGGCCGCTGTCATGGAGCGCATGGAAGCTAACTAGGATGGCTGTACGTACATCCAGGGTTCCGCCGTGGGAGCTCGTATCAAGGCAGGGTGCGGTCCACCTCATTCTCAAGGACGAGTCTGCATCCCGCCGTCGCACCATATCCGATCCATCGTCTCCATCACTTGCTTGGCTTTCGTTCACTCCCCTCCGCCTCCCCCCCTCTTGCTCTCTCTCCTGTTGCACTCAATTCCCCCTCCCTCTCTTGCCATGCTGAACTGCTTTATACCTCTGGCCACTGGGCGTCTATGTACCCTGCTGTCTACATCTTACTATTCTTTGTTCTAGGCAAGTGGCTAGTATACATGGGCCTACACTCATACTCCAGCTTGGAGTCGAAAAGTCTCCATGATCAAGTGGCTCTACGTATCTGCTCTATATAGTGTGACTACAACCACTTTGTTAGAGGCGAGTAGAGTATATTGAAACAACAATCCTGATATTTTAAAATTCTGCCCAAAATCTTTTTTCTGATGGATTCGGTGTGGCTTACTTATATAGCCGTATGAATAGCGTAACAGAATCCTGCGGGAGATACACGAGGATAGCGAAAGGCCAAGTTGATCCCTTCAGCCTTCAACCCAAATGTTCATAACAATCCTGTTCGTCATCCAGAACCCATCACGACCAGCACAGACAAGGAGAGCAGACAAGTGTACAGTCGTATTTTTTCCTATCTTGAAATGGGAAAGTATATAAACCCCCTTGCTATGCAATCACCATTCACCAAATATCAAATATCAAATACAAAACATCAACCCTCCTCATCGAACAAATCTACAACGCAAAGAAAGCCGCAATCAAAACCACCACGGCGCCAACACCGACATTGAGCCTGCTCGCCGCGCCCTCAAACTCGACGGGCACCTTCGTAGGATAGCTCCCGGCGCCCGTTCCACTCGCAGTGGGGACGTACACACTCGTGCTGTTGGCGGCCGCATATGGCGCGGGAGAAGGCGTGTGCACCACGACGACGGGCACAACGGATAGCGTCACGTACTGGTAGACGACGCTCGCGGTGCTCGTGGCAGGGACGTATGCGAGTTCTGTGGTCGCCGGTTCAGGGGTCTCGGGGACGTAGGCGAGGCCAGAGGGCTGAGCAACAGGAGGCGCGGATTCGTAGCCGTAGGCGGCCGGGCCTGATGGGGCGGGGGCTGCGTTGGGGTAGTAGGCTGTCGGGGTGGCGATGGGCTTGGTCAGCGTGATGGTCGAATGCTCGACAACGACGACGGTCGTGTACCAGCCCTCGGGGATGACGGGCGCGCTCGTCGTAGCCTCTGGGTGCGCGGTTGTTGTGATGGTTGTGGTGATGGTGGTCAGACCGGTCGAGCAGATGTCAACGTAGGTTGCTGTTGTAAATTAGCGGGATTCAGCAAGAAGTGTTCAGTTAATGGAGACGTACTAGTAAAAGTCGTAGTGATGACCGCAGGGCCGGTGGGATAGTTTGTAGGATAGATGGGTGCACTCGTGACCGCTGAACCAGTGGGGTAGACCTGGGAGCCCTCGGCAGAGGGGCTGGGGTGTGGTACGATTTCCCGAGAGTAGCTGGGGATGGGGTTTTCGTATCCCTTGGAAGAAGATGAAGCAGGGTATCCAGGGCCCTGGGAAGAGCTGGAAGAGATGGGGTAAGCCTGTCCAGAAGTCGACTCTGCGGTCGAAGAAGTCAATGTGGTGCAAGACGAAGAAGAGCTAGAGCTAGAGACACTCTCCGTGGGATAGACAATGGTGGATGCGCTGGAACTGGCCTCAGTTGGGTATACGAGGCTGGAGCTGCTGGACTCAGTCGGGTATACGAGGCTGGAACTGCTGGACTCAGTCGGATATACGAGACTGGAGCTGCTGGTCTCAGTGGGGTAGGGGACGCTTGAACTGCTTTCTGTAGGATAAACGATGGTTGAGCTGACCGAGCTGGTTCCAGTAGGATAGGCGGTGTCGGAGCTGCTGCTAGAGGAGTCCACGTCCCTGGAGCTGA